AAAGCAGTATTTATGTAAAGAGCTTTTGCCAATGCTATACCACCTTCAAGACCAAGATTATTATTATAAAGATTCAATGAAGTTAGAGTATTATTTCTTTGAAGAACTTCGGCCAAAGCTTTTCCACTTTCAAAACCAAGTCGATTATCTCCAAGATTTAAACAAGTTAAAGCGACGTTACTACAAAGAGCATCAGCCAGGGCTTTTCCACCTTTAGAATCAAGTTGATTATCATAAAGGTTTAAAGAGGTCAAAGTAGTATTTTTACGAAGAGCTTCAGCCAATACACTTCCACCTTTAAAACCAAGTTGATTAATGCTAAGCCTTAGGGAAGTCAAAGTAACATTTTTAAGAAGAGCATCAGCAAAAGCTTTTCCACCTTCAAAATCAAGTTGATTACCACAAAGATCTAAAGATTTTAGGGTAGTGTTTTTGCAAAGAGCTTCAGCAAAAGCTTTTCCACCTTCATAACTAAGTTGATTAAGACCAAGATCTAAAGAGGTTAAAGTAGTATTATGATAAAGAGCTTCAGCTAATACTTTTGCTTCTTCAAGACCAAGTTTATTTCTATAAAGAGTTAAGGAGATTAGAACGTTATTTTTGTAAAGAACTTCGGCTAATGCTTTTGCTTCTTCGAAACTAAGTTGAGTATAAGAAAGATTTAAAGAAGTGATGGTGGAATTTTTATAAAGAGATTCTATTAATATCTTTGTTATTTTATTATTAATGGAACCATAAAATTTTAAATCTTTAAGTTTTACACTAGATCTTAAAAACATTGTAATTAAAGAACATTTAGCTGTTTCAACCTCGTTCATAAAAGATTTGTATTTTTTAGAATAATCATTAAAATCATGAGGTTCATCTCCTTCACGACAAAGCCAGTTTATGATTCCATGTTCTAAACCATGACAGCTGATAAAAGTAGTATAAGCAGTATAATCAAATAAAGGTTTTTTATCATTTGGAAGTAATATATTTAATGGAATTAATGGGGCTTGTTCTTCAGCATTTAACGTTAAAAGATAAATTCTTATAAGTCTTTTATCTTTAAAATGTAATAATGGTTCACTCCATAATATTGGTACAACATTTCTACACCATTGACGGTTTACAAGAAGGCATGAAAATAAGAATCTATAATAAATCCTAAGATTAATGAATATTTCAATGAGACATTCATTTGGCAATGACAACATTTTGGAAAAGTAAAAAAATGGGGTTACGGATTTTAACCGAAAAACCCCGATTTATAAATAATTTATATAAAGCACGTGAAAATGTCTATTTAAGTAAACATTTTAGCTACCGCTACGCAAGTATGTTGTAAAGGGTGTGATCATCGACAGGTGGCTCTGGTTGAATCTGCCAATCTGCAGCCTATAGTCGATATGGAAGTAAAGGTAAATAGGATTATTGTGTATATAAAGCTTACATTAAAGATAGAATAGATATGTTGGAAAATTTTATGGTAAAGAGAATGTATATAAAGACCTCAAAGAGTACCTTTAAGAAAATAAATCTCATAATTCCAAAGCCTTGAAAGGCGTAGATATGCGCAGTAGATGTTTTCCTCACGCCATTGATGTATTTTAGTTTATTCGTACTGTATTGGTACTGATTTTTTTGTTCCCGTGATATTTGAATACTGCAACCTGATTTTTTAAAAGAGTAAAAAGCGTTTGCGTTAGGCTACACTGCACGAATTACTTTTATAGTAATCCCATTGACAAACCCGATTTGTTATTTATAAGCCGATCTCTCGAATTTCTCGTGATCTGTGGTCAATATTTATAGAGAAAGCTAAGAAATAGTACAATATCGGTATGTTAATAAAATAAGCCATAGTACTGTACATAGTAATAGTGAGCAAATGGTTGTATAGAATTTAAAAAGACAAAGGAGAAAAATACTTATCTGAAGCAAATTATCAAAGTAAGCCTAATTTTTGGGTCGATTTTCTCCACGCCTCGACCGAAGCCTACAGTATTATGGTGTTGAGAAATATATTTTATTAGTATCGATATTGAGTGTCCCCATCTTGTCCTTAGCGCCGTGTAACCATATCTCTGGCTTATACATACGTACAGTACGTACGTACGTACGTACGTGCGTAAGTCGGATCAAAGGTCACACAACCATAACAACTAATATTGTCACTAACCTAAACTCAAACTTAGAAAGGCTTTGATTGAACTCTAAACTACGTCACGAGCTCTACACGATGGAGTCACGGGTTTATATTGTCTACTAATCGGTGGATTATTAGAGCTGGAAATTATTTATTAAGACTTTCTAGTGCTGAATTATGAGTTATTCTATATTGGTAGTAGCTTATATATTTTTTT